TATATCTTCAGTTTTCCTCCTAGGGGCTGCGTAGTTCTCTAGTTATAGTAGTACACTACAAGACTGCACAACCTTTATATATATAGTATTAACACACACACACCCACCATGCATATCTATATATATATATATATATGCATTGAATATATATATATATTATATATATCACAAATAAATAATCTCAAAAAGATTTCATTCGAGATTATTCACACGTGATACCCACACGTACCTCAGCACGGAGGAGTCGGACGATCGTGGCGTCTGTGTCGGCCGTCTGCTTGCTAGCTGCTGCTGCCTGCGCTGCTGAGTGGATATCTCTAGCACCATGTTGACCTCGCTACCGCCGCCGCCGCCGCTGCGTGCCGACTCTACGCTGTAAGTGCTGCCCTCTTGGTCGATGAACGATCTACATCAGGCCTGCTCAGTGCCAGCTGCTTTGCTGCTGGCTGGTTTCGCCTCGTCGCCGTGACGACGAAGTTATCCTCGAAGCTGCGAGGAGGAGGGGAGGAGCAGACGCTTATTTTTTGCGATGGGAAATTTTTGCGTGAATGGCTTGCGAATGTTTTACTTTTTGTTTTAGATTGTGCTTGCAATAGTGGCGTAGATCACGCTACGACTTTTTAAATGGTACATGCCTAAAATACCATTGTATAGTAGTTTAGTATGTCTGCTTTCCAGATTTATTCTACACGATTCCTCTTATTGTTATTTCAAAACGGTTCCTTCAAAAACGAGTTGCTGTAACGCAACCGGAGCGCATAAAATAATGAAGGTATCTGGGGCAAGTCACAAAAACAAGGATTAAATTCAAAAATCAAATTAAAATAACATACATGATATAGCATAAAAGTAAAGTGAAATAAATAATAAAAAATTAAATATAATATATATAATGTAATATAGTAACATCTATAATAATAAATATAATAAAATGTGTTTTATTAAAAAAAAAAATTTTAATTAAATTAAATTTGATTGCCGCCTCACCGATTGTTCTCGCTCGGTCCGCCTGCCGCAGGCCACAAAGTTTCGACTCGATATCGCAATGTCGCGCCTTGTATGACATTTGACCCAGGCGGGCTTCGCGGGCCGCGCGCTCGTCCTCGAACGGCGACCTGCGTCGGCCGCGATGTGCGCTAGCACCAGCGCGCCACCTGGAGTCCTAAGTCGCGCCGCCGACCGCTGCTGCTGCTTTGTCGATGCATGTCGCGGTTGACGCATGTGTCAGGAAATGGAGGGCGTCGTGCACACCTGCTTCATACATCGATGGCCAGCCGGTCGCGGCGGCGGCCAGCACCGCTGCATGACATCGTACCTGCGAGACGAGATGACAAGTGAACGGCTGCGGCGGCGTGGCGTGCCCGAAACGCGCGTTACTGCTTTTACAAAAATTATAATATTTATGCTTTATAACTATTTTTTGTAAGTGAAATAATTGTTGTTGTACAGATTTCTCAAGTGTTAGACTTTATTTTACTTTAAAAACTGCTTGTTTTATAATAAACATGCTGTAATGCTGTATATGCAAATGAATAATAATACTATAAATATAATAATGAATAAAACTGTAATAACAAATAACTAAATGAATAATCAAATATTTACCTGTTCATAGTCTTTTTCAAATTCTAGCCATAAATTCGAGATTTTAAAAGTACTGCCTGAGAATGCGCAGAAAATCGAAAAATCCGGACCGACGGCAGATCCTTGAGCCAGGATTTTTGGACTTCTAACTGTATATATATATCAAGAGTAGATAATAGAAGGAGTACATCTCCTATTATGTACTCTGATATGTATATTAGCAGTGTGATAATTCACACTTTGTTGCTGTGGGGTACCCTGTCTCTGTAGGAACCCTAGTATATATATTACATATGATGTATTATTGATATGATGTATATCAGTGCTACACCTCAACACTACTTGTGCTGTGTGCGTAGGCTCTGCTCTTCTGTAGGATGGGCAGCTTGTAGGACTTCTGCTACGCATGAACCTTGCTGATGACCTCTGAGTTGGAGGAGGAGTGGAGTAAGGCTGGCTTCACAAACTCATCAGCTCCATTAGGCAGCACGCCAAAATCGACCTGCAATACATTATATATTATGCTATTCGTGTAATATGTTACATCCATATATATGTATATATATAATAATTAATAGTTATATAACTATATATAATTCTATATTATTATTATATAAAAAACAAAAAAAATATAGTATATATTATATATATTGTGTATGTATGTATTGTAATGTATTGTAGTATGTATATATATATATTAATTATATAATATATATACAAATACAATACATAGTAATTACATTACACACTATATCATCAGTCAGAACAAAATCACGAATTAAGGTTATTCTTAACTTAACTTTCTCTCTGGCTCGCGCCTCCGCACTTCCCAGCCGCGTGTGTAACGAGGAGGAGGATGGAGGAGAAGAGGAGGGAGAGAGGAGCGAAGAGGAGGAAGGAGTTTTTCATACCCACCACACGTTGGCTTCCTCGTGACCTGCCCCGCTCGCCACGCGCCGTGTGTAATGAAGGAGCGCAGGAAGAGGAGGATGGAGGAGGAAGAGGAGGAAGAGGAGGAGGAGGAGGAGAGAAGGAGCGTATAAACCCACCCACGTTTGGCTTCTCTTCGTGCGACTCCCCGCTTCCCCCGTGTGTGTTAATGAGGATGGAGGAAGAGGAGGAGCGAGGAGGAAGAGGAGGAGAGGAGGAGGAGGAATGGAGGAGAAGAGGAGGAGGAGGAGGACGGAGGAGGAGGAGGTATACGGCCGCACCACAGACCAGTTGGCTTCCTTCGTGGACGCGTCCGGCCCGCGTTCGCTCCCCGCAGGCCGTCCGTGTGTAATGAGGAGGAGGAAAGGAGGAGGGAGGAGGAGAAGGAGGAAGAGGGGAGGAGGAGGAAGGAGAAGGAGGTATATACCACACCACACATTGCTTCTTTCGGTCACCTCTCCCCGCAGTCCCCCGCATGACGTGTAATGAGGAGGAAGATGGAGGAGGTGGCAGGTATACCCACCACAACTTTGTGGCTCCTTACGTCACCTCCCCGCCTTCCACGATATACTCGGAGCAGCTGAGAGTTTCCGCGGCGCACACAAGGACAGCGAATCTGGCACGGCAAAGTCGCCCGACGTTGTAGTGTCGGCCGCTGCGAGCGAGCAAGAAAACAGCGCGCGTTTCGCTACGCTCAGCGGAGCGAGGAAAAACAACGCCGGCGCTGCATTGCACGTCCGCCCGGGGAAACTGTCCGAGGAAAAAGCAAACGCGGCATCGCGAGCCATAGTGAGCGAGCGAAAGCAAAGTGCGCGCGTGTCGCGTCATGCCTTCAGCGAGTGAGGAAAACAGGCGCGCACCACGTGATGCGCCCGGGGGCCAACGTCGGTGCGAACAATGAGCGGTGTTTGGGTCGCCTGGCGAGCGATGGAAACAGGCGAACATCGCTCGTAATTTTTTCATCGGAAAAATCGTAATTCCCGTTTCGCAAAATAACGCTTCGCTCGACGCAAAAAACGCGCAGACGTGTGTTTCGCAGGCGGCAGTTCGTACATGCCGCTGCCCCCGAAAACGCTCATCCTCCCCCTCCCCCTCCCGTCACAGTTGCCGCCCCCGCGGGAACCCACCAGCTCATTTGACTCGCGACCCGGCGTGGGCTGTTCAAAACACCAAAGCGTCGCGCATTCTTCGTGATTATCGAAATACCGATCTTGAGGCGTCTTCCAAACATCTCTCCGAGGGCCAGACCCCGCCTCCCTTCATTACCCGTCGCCGCGGCAAACCTCCCCGCCCCACCGCCGTAAGAACCTTCCCCTCCTGTCCGCCGCGGCGACTCAGCCCCGCCCCCTCACCTTGTACTTGTCCTGCGAGATGCCCGTAGTCGCCGACCTTGACCGTGAGGTCGCCGGCGACGAGGCAGGAGCCGCGCGCGAGGTCGGGTGAGCGAAGCCTCGCTCGTGCGACGTGCTGCCATCCCGGCGAAGACGTCGCACGCCATCTTGAGCAGCAGCAGCGCGTCGCAGGGACCGCGAGTCGTCGGCCGCGGCGTCGCTATGACGTAGTAGTAGATGTCTTCAGGTCGCCCTGAAACGAGTCAGAACTCTGCGTATAGAGGTCGCGCAGGGGAACGAGCTGGAACTGCATATATATAGAGGTCCCTGGGAACAAGCCGGACCCCTGCGTATAGAGGTCGGCCGCGACGACGTCGCGCTGACGTAGGAGGTACGTCTTCAGGTCGCCCTGAAACGAGCCCGGAACCTGCGTATAGAGGTCGCCGCGACGAAGCGTCGCGCTGACTGTAGGAGGTACGTTCTTCAGGTGCGCCTGAAACGAGCGGAAACCTGCGTATAGAGGTCGCAGGAGGAACGAGTCGGAACCTGTGTATAGAGGTGCGCCGCGACGACGTCGCGCTGACGTAGCGAGGTACGTCTTCAGGTCGTCGCCTGAAACGAGGCGGAACCTGCGTAATAGAGGTCGCAGGGGAACGAGCTGGAACCTGCGTATAGAGGTCGCAGGGGACGAGCTGGAACCTGCATATATAGAGGTCGCTGGGGAACGAGCCGGACCCTGCGTATAGAGGTCGCCGCGACGACGTCGCGCTGACGTAGGAGGTATGTCTTCAGGTCGCCCTGGAACAGAGATCGGAACCATGCGTATAGATGGTCCGCAGGGGAACGAGCTGGAACCTGCATATATAGAGGTCTCGCGGGGAACGAGCCGGAACCTGCGTATAGAGGTCGCCGCGACGACGTCGGCACTGAACGTTAGGAGGTAACCTCTTCAGTCGCCCTGAAACGAGGCGGAACCTGCGTATAAGAGGTCGCAGGGAACGAGTCGGAACCTGTGTATAGAGGTCGGCCGCGAGCGCGTCGCGCTGACGTAGGAGGTACGTCTTCAAGGTCGCCCTGAAACGAGGCGGAACCTGCGTATAGAGGTCGCAGGGGAACGAGACGCGGAAACTGCGTATAGAGGTCGCCGCGACGGCGTCGCGCTGACGTAGGAGGTACGTCTTCAGGTCGCCGCTGAAACGAGGCGGAACCTGCGTATAGAGGTCGCGCAGGAAACGAGTCGGAACCTGCTGTATAGAGGTCGCAGGGGAACGAGCCAGAACCTGTGTATAGAGGTCGCCGCGACGACGTCGCGCTGACGTAGGAGGTACGTCTTCAGGTCGCCCTGAAACGAGTGCGGAGCCTGCGTATAGAGTCGCAGGGAACGAGCTGGAAACCTGTGTATAGAGGTCGCCGCGACGGCGTCGCGCTGCTCGTAGGAGGTACGTCTTCAGGTCGCCCTGAAACGAGGCGGAAGCTGCGTATAGAGGTCGCCAGGGAACGAGTCGGAACCTGTGTATATAGAGGTCGCTGGGGAACGAGCCGGAACCTGCGTATAGAGAGTCGCCGCACAACGTCGCGCTGACGTATGGAGGTACGTCTTCAGGTCGCCCTGAACGAAGGCGGAGCCTGCGTATAGAGGTCGGCAGTGGGAACGAGTCGGAACCTGTGGTATTGAGGTTGCCGCGATACGAGGCGGAACCTGCATATAGAGCGTCGCAGGGGAAGCGAGTCGGAACCTGGTATAATGGTCCGTCGGTAATGTCGGGGTAGTAACACACCGACTTATCTAAGACCGTCGACAGAATATACAATTAATTAAAAAAATTTTATTTCAATTTGAAAGAATTCAATATAAACAACAAGTGCCGCGGAGCGACAGCGCTCATCTAACGTCTACTGCGGTGCCTCTGTGGTAGAGTGGTGGATTCTAGTAAACCCTGTTAGTCCCAAATGTGTTTCACATACACAGCCGAAAACAGTGGAGGTTACAGGGATGGTATCAGGAAACCTTCTCAAGAAATGTTCGTTAGGATCGTTATGAAAGTTGCCACGAGATGGCGCGTACGTTAAGTGTCTTCAGATTAAAGATGGAAGCTCCCATCGTACGTAGTAGCAACAACTATTTGCAAGATAGAATAGGTAAGCACACATCCATTTACTACGCAAGCCTACAGGTGAAATAGAGAGCTGCCACCTGTAACTAATTATACGCAAGGCAAAAACTACACAGTAACCACTGGCAGTGGCATACCGTTACATGTAACACACTGACAGTACAGAATGCCATAGAAATTATACGATTTAAGGAGCATAAACCTTCTTCAACCAAATTTAGCTTTGAATTTCACTGTGACATTGTAGCCTCAAACATCCAGGCATGTATAGATTCTAGCTAGCAAACCAGCAGTCAAATTCTTTCTAACATTAAACAATCCATGTTTAACCCTCTTCTTGAGGTCAAATGGTTATCCGACACTTACTCTTCGCATGTCAGCAGAAAGTACATTTCATGGTCCTTTCAATAAAGCCATAAAAATGCTAGGTCACAGCTGAAACAAAAAAGTTTTCAACCGCTCCGTCAGACCCATGTCCTCAGAAAATGTCTAAAATCTGCCCTGTGCCCCATTGACCTGTTGACCTGTGACCTCCAATTTTGGCACAGTGATGGCTTTTCCTACCATGATGCATACACGGCACTATACACATTAAGCCTAGGTCGAGCCGTTTAGATTTGTGCCGCAATTCTGCATTTCCTCCCTATACCTTAAGTTAAGGAGGGAATGTTCCCCCTTCTTTTACACTCTTGACCTTTGACCTTTGACCCCCAGCTTCAACATCCAACTCGTTTTCGGATTACCCCCCACGTCCGAATATTGTGACCGTACGTCGAGCGGTTAAGATTTGTGCCCAACTGTTGACGGCCGACGACGCACGATCATGCGATTCTACAAGCTGCATCTGACTATGTCAGAATATATTGAAAGTTTTCGATCAACTATTTCGAGATAAGTAGACGGATAGAGAGATGAACGTCTGGATGGATGGAGAGAGGCAGAGATGCAAAATAGATTGATAGATCTGACAGACAACAGACATCAACCCCGTTTGCTCACAAATGCAAATTCATCGGTGAACGAGCAATTAATTATACGGCAGAGACAACACACATGCGTTCGCAGCATCTGCAGCGTGCACTCAACACGCAGCGGTAACAACGCCTCGATTACATAAACCTCCGCGATGAACTCATACTCACAAATGCGGCGAATTCCATTATGAGCAGGTAGGGAGTTGTGTCGAGGCACTGGCCGAGCACCTTCAGCGTATTCTCGTGGTCCAAGTCCCTAAACGACAAGGGGCGGGAAAGACAACGTCGTTAGTACAATCGCAGCGCGTCGAAGCGAGTTCGAATGAGATCCTCACGCGAAAACGCGCAGAAAAAAGAACACCGTGAACGCCTCTACCCCCGCTCTTACATTGCAGCCGACAGACAGACCGCCCGCTGATTATCCGACGTCGTTAATAATTCATGCGTCGTTATCACCGCGATCGGCAGCGTGAATAATGCAGGATCGCTCGGACGCGGACGGCGGTGCCCCCTACCTGTACATCTTCGCCTCGCAGAGGAAGTAGTGCTGCTCTATTGTCGTAACGTCCTCCTTCATCGCCTTGACGACGACCTTGGTGCGACTTTCGCCGATGAGGATGTTTTGCGCATGGCCCTCGATCGCCTACCGCGACGGACACGCGCCAATTCGAGAAATTAATTTATTAAGATTTGAACTATTTTTCTGATTAATTTTTTATACATTTGTTTTTATTTTTCGAGAGATAAATAAAAGTGCAAAAGGAAGAAATTAAATACGCCATTTGCGGAGGCTAACACGTTACCTCGATCAGCCTGCCCGGAACGGACGTGCGCTGTTTCGAGAAATTTAAAGATATTAAATTAACTTTTATAGTCGATTAATTAAAAATTGCGTTGTTTTGCACGTAAACAAAATCACAACAGTAAACAAAAACACGTTGTTAGGCAGAACCCTCGATCAATCTTAGATGAACACCTTCTCTCCCCCCCCTGCCTCCCCTCTCCTCTCCTCCTCCATCCTACCTCCCCCTCCCCCTGCTCACCTGTCCGAACCACCCCTATTGCCGCCTCACCGATTGTTCTGCTCGTCCGCCGGAGGCACAAAGTTCGACTCGAATCGCATGTCCGCCTTGTTGACATTTGACCTCGGCGGCTTCGCGGGCCGGCGCTCGTCCTCGAACGGCGAGCCTGCGTCGGCCGCGATGTGCGCTAGCAGCCGGCGCCACCTGGAGTCAAAGTCGCCGCCACCGCTGCTGCTGTTGTCGATCATGTCGCGGTGCGTGTGCAGGAAATGGAGGGCGTCGTGCACCTGCTTCATCGATGGCCGCCGGTCGGGGCGGCGGCAGCACCGCTGCATGACCTCGTACCTGCGAGACGAGATGACAAGTGAACGGCTGCGGCGCGTGGCGTGCGAAACGCGGTTAACTCTTTTACAAAATTATAATATTTATCTTTAAACATTTTTTGTAGTGAAAAATTGTTGTTTACAATTTTCTCAAGTGTTGACTTTATTTTACTTTAAAACTGCTTGTTTTGATAAATAAAGCATGCTGTAATGCTGTATATGCAAATGAATAATAATACTATAAATATAATAATAATAAACTGTATAACTATAATAACTAATGAATAATCAAAATTTACCTGTTCATCTCTTTTTCATTCTGCCATAAATTCGAATTTTAAAAGTACTGCCTGAGAATCCAGAAAATCCGAAAATCCGGACCGACCCAATCCTTGAGCCAGGATTTTTGGACTTCTACTGTATATATATATCAAGAGTAGATAATAGGAGAGTACATCTCCTATTATGTACTCTTGATATGTATATTACAGTGATACACTCACACTTTGTTGCTGTGGGTACCCTGTCTCTGTAGGACCTAGGTATATATATACATATGATGTATATTGATATATGTATATCAGTGCTACACTCACACTTTGTTGCTGTGCGTGCTCTGTCTCTGTAGGATGGGCAGCTTGTAGGACTTCTCTACGATGACTTTCTGGATGACCTCTGAGTTGGAGAGGAGGGAGTAAGGCTGGCTCACAAACTCCATCAGCTCCCATAGCAGCACGCCAAACGACCTGCAATACATTATATATTATGTATTGTGTAATATGTATACATCATATATATGTATATATGATAATAATTAATAGTTATATAATATATATAATTCTATATATTATTATATAAAAAAAAAAAAATATATATATATTATATATATGTGTATGTATGTATGTATGTATTGTATGTATGTATATATATATATATATATATATATATACAAATACATACATAGTATTACATACACACATATATCAGTCAGAAACAAAATCACGAATTAAGGTTATTCTTAACATTAACTTTCTCTCTGGCTCGCGCCTCCCCCTTCCCCAGCCGCGTGTGTAACGAGGAGGAGGAGGAGGAGAAGAGGAGGAGGAGGAGGAGGAGGAGGAGGAGGTATACCCACCACACGTTGGCTTCCTTCGTGACCTCCCCCGCTCCCCCGCGTGTGTAATGAGGAGGAGGAAGAGGAGGAGGAGGAGGAAGAGGAGGAAGAGGAGGAGGAGGAGGAGGAGAAGAGGTATACCCACCCACCGTTTGGCTTTCCTTCGTGACCTCCCCGCTCCCCCGTGTGTGTAATGAGGAGGAGGAGAGAGGAGGAGCGAGGAGGAAGAGAGGAAGAGGAGGGAGGAGGAGGAGGAGAAGGAGGAGGAGGAGGAGGAGGAGGAGGAGGAGGTAACCCACCAGACACGTTGGCTTCCTTCGTGACCCTGGCCCCCGCTCCCCGCGTGTGTAATGAGGGAGGAGGAAGAGGAGGAGGAGGAGGAAGAGGAGGAAGAGGAGGAGGAGGAGGAGGAGAAGGAGGTAATACCCACCACACATTGGCTTCCTTCGTCACCTCCCCGCTCCCCGCATGTGTAATGAGGAGGAAGAGGAGGAGGTGGAGGTATACCCACACACCGTTGGCTTCCTTCGTCACCTCCCCGCCTCCACGATATACTCGGAGCAGCCTGAGAGTTTCCGGCGCACACAGCGGATCGGCACGGCAAAGTCCCCGACGTTGTAGTAGTCGCCTCGCGAGCGAGAAAAAACAAGCGGCGCGTTCGCTACGCTCAGGCGAGCGAGGAAAAACAAGCGTGCATTCACGTCCGCCCGGCGGGAAACGCCGAGGAAAAAGCAAACGCGCATCGCGACGCCAGTGAGCGAGGAAAGCAAGTGCGCGTTCGCGATGCTCAGCGAGTGAGGAAAACAAGCGCGCTCCCACGTGCGCCGGCCGGCAACGTCGGGCGAACAATGAGCGCGTGTTTGGGTCGCCTGTGCGAGCGAGGAGGAAACAGGCGAACATGCGCGTAATTTTTCATCGAAATCGTAATTCCCGTTTCGCAAAATAACGCTTCGGCCCGACGCGAAAACCGCAGACTGTGTTTCGAGGCGGCAGTTCGTCATGCCGGCCCCCGAGAAACGCTCTCCCTCCCCCCCCCTCCCCGTCACAGTTGGCGCCCCGAACCCCCACTTGAGCTGCGGACCCGCGGGGCCGGGGTGTCACACCAAAGCGTCGCGGATCTCGGGATTATCGAAATTCGATCTTGAGGCGTCTTCCCACATCTCTCCGAGGGCCGACCCCGCCTCCTTCATTACCCCGGTCGCCGCGGCAACCCCCGCGCCCACCGCCGGGAGAACCTTCCCTCCTGTCCGCGGCGGGAGCAGCGCCGGCCCCCTCACCTTGTACTTGTCGGCTGCGGAGATGCCGGTAGCCGTCAGCGCGTGACGGTTGCCTGGAGGCGGCCGGGCCGACGAGCAGGTGGGAGCGCCGGCGGGGGCGGCGGGGGGGGCCGGGAGCGAAGCCTCGCTCGTGCACTGCTGCATCCGCCGCGGAAGACGTCGCACGCCATCTTGAGCAGCAGGCCGCGTCGCAGGACCGGATCGTCGGCCCGGGCGTCGCTATGACGTAGTAGGTATGTCTTCAGGTCGCCCTGAAACAGTCAGAACCTGCGTATAAGAGGTCGCAGGGGAACGAGCTGGGAACCTGCATATATATTAGAGGTCCCTGGGGAACAAGCCGGACCCTGCGTATAGAGGTCGCCGCGGACGACGTCGCGCTGACGTAGGAGGTACGTCTTCAGGTCGCCCGAAACGAGCCGGAACCTGCGTATAGAGGTCGCCGCGACGAACGTCGCGCTGACGTACGAGGTACGTCTTCAGGTCGCCTGAAACGAGCGCGAACCTGCGTATAGAGGTCGGCAGGAGGACGAGTCGGAACCTGTGTATAGAGGTCGCCGCAACGACGTCCGCGCTGACGTAGGAGTACGTCTTCAGGTCGCCCTGAAACGAGGCGGAACCTGCGTATAAGAGGTCGCACGGGAACGAGCTGGAACTTGCGTATAGAGGTGCAGGGGAACGAGCTGGAACCTGCATATATAGAGGTCGCTGGGGAACAGCCGGACCCCGCGTATAGAGGGCGCCGCGACGACGTCGCGCTGACGTAGGAGGTATGTCTTCAGGTCGCCCTGAAACGAGTCGCGAACCTGCGTATAGAGGTCGCAGAGGAACGAGCGTGGAACCTGATATATAGAGGTCGCTGGGGAACGACCGGAACCTGCGTATAGAGGTCGCCGCGACGACGTCCACTGACGTAGGAGGTACGTCTTCAGTCGCCCTGAAACGAGGCGGAACCTGCGTATAGAGGTCGCAGGGAACGAGTCTCGAACCTGTGGTAGTAGAGGTCGCCGCGCGGCCGTCGCGCTGGACGTAGGCAGGTACGTCTTCAGGTCGCCCTGAAACGAGGCGAACCTGGCGTATAGAGGTCGCAGGGGAACGAAGCGGACCTGCGTATAGAGGTCGCCGCGACGGCGTCGCGCTGACGTAGGAGGTACGTCTTCAGGTCGCCCTGAACGAGGCGGAACCTGCGTATAGAGGTCGCAGGGGAACGAGGCGGAACCTGCGTATAGAGGTCGCAGGGGAACGAGTCGGAACCTGTGTATAGAGGTCGCCGCGACGACGTCGCGCTGACGTAGGAGGTACGTCTTCAGGTCGCCGTGAACGAGGCGGAGCCTGGCGTATAGAGGTCGCAGCGAACGAGCTGGAAAGCTGTGTATAGAGCGTCGCCGCGACGGCGTCGCGCGCCGTAGGAGCGTACGTTCTCAGGTCGCCCGTAAACGAGGCGGAGCTGCGTATAGAGGTCGCAGGGGAACGATCGGAACCTGTGTATATAGAGGTCGCTGGGAACGAGCCGGAACCTGCGTATAGAGGTCGCCGCGACAACGTCGCGCTGACGTAGGAGGTACGTCTTCAGGTCGCCCTGAAACGAGGCGGAGCCTGCTATATTAGAGGTCGCAGTGGGAACGGCGTCGGAACCTGTGTATTGAGGTTGCCGCGATACGAGGCAAGAACCTGCGTATAGAGGTCACAGGGGAACGAGGTCCGAACCTTGGTAAATGGTCGTCGGGTAATGTCGGGGGTAGTAACCAACCGACTTATCTCAAGACCGTTGACAGAATACATTATTAAACAAAATTATTATTTCAATTTGAAAGAATTCAATATAAAACAACAAGTGCGCGGAGCGACAGCGCTCATCTAACGTCTACTGCGGTCGCTGTGTAGAGTGGTGGGATTCTAGAAACCCTGGTAGTCCCAAATGTGTTCACATACACAGCCAAACAGTGGAATGTACAGGGATTGGTATTCAGGAACCTTCTCAAAGAAAGTTCGTTAGGATCGTTATGAAAGTTGCCACGAGATGGCGCGTACGTTTAAGTGTCTTCAGATTAAAGATGGAAGGCTCCATCCGTACGTAGTAGCAACAACTATTTGCAAGATAGAATAGGTAAGCACACATCCATTTACCTACGCAAGCCTACAGGCTGAAAAGAGAGAGCTGCCACCTGTAACTAATTAAACGGCAGGCAAAACTACAAGTACCACTGGCAGGTGGCATACGTTACATGTAACACACTGACAGTACAGAATGCCATAGAAATTATACGATTTAAGGAGCATAACCTTCTTCAACCAAAATTTAGCTTTTGAAATTTCACTGTGACATTGTAGCCTCATATACATCCAGGCATGTTAGATTTCTACTAGCAAACCAGCACGTCAAATTCTTTCTAACATTAAACAAATCCATGTTTAACCCTCTTCTTGAGGTCAAATGGTTATCCGACACTTACTCTTCGCATGTCAGCAGAAAGTACATTTCATGGTCCTTTCAATAAAGCCATATAAAATGCTAGGTCACAGCTGAAACAAAAAAGTTTTTCAACCGCTCCGTCAGACCATGTCCTCAGAAAATGTCTAAAATCTGCCCTGTGCCCCATTGACCTTTGACCTGTGACCTCCAATTTTGGCACAGTGATGGCTTTTCCTACCATGATGCTATACACCGACTATCACAATTAAGCCTAGTGCGAGCCGTTAGATTGTGCCGCAATTCTGCATTTCCTCCCTATACCTTAAGTTAAGGAGGGAATGTTCCCCCTTCTTTTACACCTCTTGACCTTTGACTTTGACCCCCGCTTCAACATCCAACTCGTTTCGGATTACCCCCCACGTCCGAATATTGTGACCGTACGTCGAGCGGTTAAGATTTGTGCCCAACTGTTGACGGCCGACGGACGCACGATCATGCGATTCTACAAGCTGCATCTGACTATGTCAGATAAGCTAAAAAATGTTGAAAAAATAAAATAAAATAAAAATCTTGAAAAATCTATGAATATATTGAAAGTTTTCGATCAACTATTTTCGAGATAAGTAGACGGATAGAAAGATGGACGTCCGGATGGATGGAGAGAGGCAGAAATGCAAAATAGATTGATAGATCTGACAGACAACAGGACATTCAACCCCGTTTGCCTACAAATGCAAATTCACGCGTGAACGAGCAATTATTATACGGCAGAGACAACACACATGCGTTCGCAGGCATCTGCAGCGTGCACTCAACCACGCAGCGGTAACAACGCCTCGATTTACATAAACCTCCGCGATGAACTCATACTCACAAATGCGCGCGAATTCCATTATGAGTAGGTAGGGAGTTGTGTCGACGGCACTGGCGAGCACCTTCAGCGTATTTCTCGTGGTCCAAGCTCCCTAAACGACAAGGGCGGAAAGACAACGTCGTTAGTACAATCGCACGCCGTCGAAGCGAGTTCGAATGAGATCGCTTCACACGAAAACGTCGGGAAAAAAGAACGCCCGTGAACGCCTCTACCCCCGCTCTTACATTGCAGCGACGCGGCAGACCGCCGCGCTGATTATCCGACGTCGTTAATAATTTATGCGTCGTTAATCACCGCGATCGGCAGCGTGAATAATGGCAGGATTCGCTCGACGCGGACAGGCGGTGCCCCTACCTGTACATCTTCGCCTCGCAGAGGGAAGTAGTGCTGGCTCATTGTCGTCACGTCCTCCTTCATCGCCTTGACGAACGACCTTTGGTGCGACTTTCGCCGATGAGGATGTTTTGCGCATGGCCCTCGATCGCCTGCCACGACGGACACGCGCCAATTCGAGAAATTAATTTATTAAGATTTAAACTATTTTTTCTGATTAATTTTTTATACATTTGTTTTTATTTTCGAGAGATAAATATAAGTGCAAAAAAAGGAAGAAATTAAATACGCCATTTGCCGAGGCTAAGCACGTTACCTCGATCAGCCTGCCCGAACGGACGTGCGCTGTTTCGAGAAATTTAAAGATATAAATTAAACTTTTATAGTCGATTAATTAAAATTGCGTTGTTTTGCACGTAAACAACAATCACAAACAGTAAACAAAAACCGTTGTTACCGGCGGAACCCTCGATCAATCTTAGATGAACACTTCTCTCCCCCCCCTGCCTCCCCTCTCCTCTCCTCCTCCATCCTACCTCCCCCTCCCCGCTCACCTGTCCGAACCATCCCACCCCGATGTCTCGCACGTACTGCAGCTGGCCTCGCGGCAAGTTGTGAGTGGCGGCTCGAACCACGCCCTCCACGCTCTCCTCCCACCCACCCTCTCCTCTCTCCACTTCCCTCTCCCCTCTTGCTCACCTGTCCAAACCATCCCACCCCGATGGTCTCGCCACGGACTGCAAGCTGTCCTCAGCTCCTTATCCCTCCATCCCACCCCTATCTCCTCCCCTCCTCCCCCTCCCCTCCTCCTCCCTCTCGCTTCACCTGTCGACCATCCCACCCCGATGTCTCGCACGTACTGCAGCACTGTCCTCGTGGGAAGTATGTGACGCGGGGGCTTGAACCAGTCCCTCGCTCCTCCCTCCCTCCTCCTCCCCTCTCCTTCCTCCCCTCCCCTCCTCCCTCTCCGCTCACCTGTCCGAACCATCCCACCCCGATGTCTCGCACGTACTGCAGCTGTCCTCGTGGGAAGTTGTGACGTGGCGGCTCGAACCAGTCGCGCACGGGCGGCGGTGCGCCTCCTGCGGCAAGCATGGCGGCGAACGCGGCCGGGCGGGGCCGCAGCGGCGGCGACAGCGTCGTCGTTCGCATCAGCGCGTCCGCGTCCGGCAACGCCTCCATGACGACGTCCGACGCATCGACGGGGTCCGGCGACGGTGGCGCCCCCGCCGTTGTCGCGTCGATTGACACGTTGACCATCGTCGACACCTCGTCCAGTTCCTGATCGCCGCCGCGGGGAAGAGAGTGAAGCAGAGAGGATGAGCGCACACATTACTTGCATTGTATTGTATGGCAATTATATTGTGTTTATATCGCAGTGTTATGTAATGTATTTGTGTTGCATTATATTGTATTGTAGTGTACAGTCAATTAGTATTATTGTATTTTGTTGTTATTTTTGTGTTGCATTGTGTTGTATTGTGTTGTTCTGTCATGTTGTGTTGTATTGTGTTGTTCTGTCATGTATGGTATTGTCCTATATTATCATCAGGAGTGAATAATAATAGTGTATAGTCTATTTACTCCTGTTATCATGTTATTTATTTGCAATAATTCGGAAGAAACATTTTACTCCGGACGTGACCAATCAGTGGAACACTAGAGGCACTACCACGACGATGCTATCTCTTACATTCAGATTAGATATGCATGCATTCACGGTAAGGCCAATGGCAGCATCACATGGTATGTCAACAGGCATAACAACATGTATCACAAAACAAAACAAAACATCACAAACATTCACTGACGTGTGTTTGTCTAACGTGTGACAATATAAACGGAAACGTATCAACGTTTGCGACAACACGTAGGGATGCTCAGTTAAGCTGGGTTTAATTAAGCCCGGTAGATTAGACCAATTTCCCAACTATACAACTGACAATCGGCAGTGTAAACGCAAAAGTTGCGCGACCTACCGATCGATAGCAACTTGTTGGGAGATTAGAACATGTTCTATTTTCGCCAACTCGGAGTTGGTGAGTTGCGAAATTGATCCAACTCGCCAATTAGTCAACGCAACGTCGGTAGTGTAAACCCAGCTATAATCAATGGACGTTTAGTTAACAAATGGTTGTTTAGTTAGCGTATGCGTGTGTATACCGAGGTTTGTTTCTGCACTCGTTTGAATGCAATGCTTGTAATGCAAGGCTGTACTTCCTCAAACCGATGAGTGTTGACATCCTATACGTGATCCACATCCCTGTGAATCTACTTAACCCCGGATGAGCATATGCCACTGCTACCTCCGAGCCACGAGCATAATTTGATGACGTATGATTCATCTTCATGCACCTCACGCATAAAAAAATTAGTGGCCGAGGAACGATCCAATGAAAACGCATGTTTGTTTACGTAATCTTTGTTGAAAAACACGTGCAAAAAACTCGCATTTTATCACGCACGGTGTGATGACATGAGGGTTCGCTGTACTATTCAAACAACTGTGCGGCTGCCGGCTCATCTGATCTGTTGCGCTTAATCTATGGAATCTTCCATTAACTTTTTCAATCCATCTCGTCAGTTTCGGGCAATGGGGCCACAATTAAAAAAATCTTTGCTTGCCCTCACCCGACCCAGGCTGAAAAGTTTGGGTAGGTAGGTAGACTTTTTTTGAGGGGGGTCTTTTTACAAATTCAGCATGTCTACATGCTTGGGGGTGTGCTTGTGTGGAGATACCTTTTATGTTGAATGTTTGTTTTGCTTGGTACATATAATGTATTGCCTACAGATTTATATAATGTACAGTGATACAATTTGTAAAAAAAAAAGAATGGTCAAGATCAATCTTTTTTTTTGAGTCGGGCCTTTTTGGTCGGTCGGTCGGGTGAGGGCAAACAAACAATATTTTTATTATGGCCTGGTATAGACTGGGCCTCGCTGTCCCTAACGCTTTGCCTGAAGTCGCAGAAATCTAGCTGCTATCCAGTCTATAAGTTACTACGAATTTTATCGGATTGAGACAAACAGCAAACAAAATGTTATTTGCGAAACGCGTAACGCACTTGAAATGAAGCTCGAAATTTATCGATTAATAATTTATGACCTATAAATTTTTTAGTCTTGTATGAAACGTTAACAGTGGAAATCGATCAAACCTAACGTTAACAACTTAACATGTACGACAAAATATACCCAACAGACACGCACGCACGCACACACACAAATACACATTTAGATATATCAAATTCTCACCTTAAAGGTTATTCTGTCAAAGCAATTTATGCATGTTGTAAGCATGAGGACGATCACAAAACATGCTATCACGGCCAAGACCCAGCCTGCCAAAACTGGGTTGGATGTAACAACTTCTAACATCGTGCCTGCAAAAATGAAAAAAATAGTCGCACATCGCTGCAATAAACTGACATATACGAAATGTTCTTCTTCTGAAAAGATATATTCTATGTGATAAAAAAATGCTACTTTTACGATTCCCACATTTCCAGTTTTTACAATGTGCTATGGAAACCATATAAACGTATCAGGAAACAAACTCAGAGATAGAATTATATTAATGTAAGCCTTTAGAATATTCAATATTATTGGTAATAACTTTTCCAAGAGATGATCGTCATGTAATGTTTTGTCTTCACCCTGCGCATAGAAGGAGGGGCGACATGGTTGGTTTGTGCATGATTTGATGATATGTGTGTTGAGGAGGGTAAGTAAGGCGCACTTTATATTAGACAGATGAGGGAAAACACGTAGACATAGTATGTAAGGCCATCCTTAAAAAATTATATGTTTGCTGTCCGCCGAGCGACCCACGAAAATAGCCGCAACCCAAAAGTTTTTTTTGACATTTTGGGTTCCATATCAGGGTTCTCCCTACGTTGCGCAAACGGGGCGGGAAAACTCCCCCCTGTTTGAATCGTTGCGCCCCGTTTAAATTACCTCCGCCCCGTTTAAATTCCACCACAATAAAAGTTTGCCAGCGCGGGAATCGACCGTCAAGAATTGCCGTTCGACCAGGACATCCGACGCGTGTATATTTACCGTACCACGCATGCACTGCAGACAGTACACAAGTTAACCTGACAATGCACAGTTAACCTGTCATGAACGTACACCGACTCGGCTATTTATATATATACAAGAACCCAAATACCGTCTATGGTGTGGTGTGGCGATTTTACGCATTAATTAGTCGTAACGGTAAAAATACACGCCCCCCGGACCCCCTAGTTCCGCCCTCTCCTACCCTCCGCTCCTCCCCCTGTTTGACTTTTCATCCTGGGGAGAACCCTGCATATTTAAAAAAAAAAGAGCCCCCGGAAATTTGCATAGAGTTCAATGCAAACCAAATTTTAGAGTGCTATTTTCATGCATGCGAGCCTGAAAAGTAGCCCCCGAAAAATAAATTTTATTTTTTTCCCTGCAAAGCATGTGTGGCAAACATGAAGACAGACTTAAAATAACTATTATGCCTCACAAAAAAATACATACCTACCTACCCACTAAAAAAATCATGGGTCGGGGGACAGCAAACATAGAATTTTTTAAGGATGGCCTAACTTGTAGGGAGCACATGACGCAGTAATGTAGGTCTCAACTTTGCTTACAAGATTGTTCACAATAGGAAATCTGAAACTGTATAACCTAACTCGAGATTCTGGACTGTCTTGAACACAGATGAGCCAGGAACTGGACATACTTCAACTACGGCATCTAAACACCTGGAGTGTTTAGGAAAGTTTGGAGGTTATGCATCATAGTACCTACTCAGCAAGTATGAATGTGTCAATTCTTGTTTTTGTTGTAACAACGAACCATGACGTGTACAGTAATACACAGTATTACTAGTAATAGTAAAAGTATAGGTTATTGTAAATAACATGTGAGAAAATGTAACGCGACCATGCATCATGACCACGTAACATCCCACCACAAATGGATCAGTAATACTGGCATGCTATGTAGCTAGATCATATGAGTGAGAGTTTCCACACGCCACAGGTGCTCTATATATGCCGACCTTCAGCCTTCAGTTCAGGCAATTTCAGCCAAGCGCCATAATATTACTTTAGAAATTAGTGATCAACAGTCAACACTGTCACCCTAATTAGTGGAATTACTAATATTATTACTAATAATGACCGAATGTCATGATTATCTATGATTAGAGGATTAGCTATGAAATAAATACCGCTCAGCGGCTGATGAAGCACTCACAATTCCAATTATTGATTCATTCTATTTGTTATGTGAGTTACAGTACCGACTACCGTACCTACTCAATCACTCACGAAACGCTATCAAATTTATATTACCTGTTCATAAAATAAGCGATAACTAAATAATCATTAATATTAAATTTTAAACAGTTAGTATACCTTCTTAGTTTACGTTACGCACGTATTAGCAGGCGCGAACCTCTCGATTATCAATGCTAAATACATGAAATAGTAAGAGGCGTTCCCACAACTACGAACCAACACACGTCCTCCATGTTTACATGGATAATGGTAAAAGGTGTATACCCTACCCGTGTATGAAAGTTTACAAATATATCACTGTTCACCGTTTATATTTTTCAGTTTTAATAAAATACTATCCATTATAATTTTATACTTATTAAAGATTATTAAAAGATTTCAATTAAATTAACTATCTGCTGTTAATGTTTAAAATTTCCATCCAGTTCTTGCGCTACGCAAAACACTAATGGCTGCAAAGTTTTACTGTTTGTGAACAAAAGACAAGATATTTATAAATTCGATGCTAGCAGCTCCGAAATAGTAATTAAATGCTATAATATCGTAAAGTTAAGAAGCAGAACACTATGATCGACTGTCCGAATACGTTCAACGTCGCAGGTAATCCTATATTATCAGTATTACTTCTATTGTTTACTTGGGTATTTAAGTTGAAATTTGCCTGAGGCTAATATTTTCTCAATTCTAGTACCGCTCCTTGACTCAAATTCTTATGAGTTTAACTACGTCACTCTTTATTAGAAGTATATGCTCGAAAAGGGTCTTATAGTTATAGAAACGTCTAGAATAATAAAACACCCAATGATGATGACCTAGTTATCACCGTATGTCTATGTAAAAATAGCCCATCCTCATGCAAGGGCATGATCGTGGGTTGTCCGCAAATGCAGACGTTATAACTCCGCTTTGCTAATCTGAGGGTGCGGGTTTATCGTCTGCAGTCACCCTTGTAAAAATGGTTGCAATTTTTGTTGTGGGCATTGGATAGGTGAATCGATTAGCACTGAGGGCGTGACGGGGGTATATCCGACCCAAAATATCAAGTGCAGACCTTCTGTTTGTCAATATCGCTTTCCGAAAACTTTATCTCCGTTTCAGAACTTTGTTTTCATGCAATAATTCATCCTAGTAAGAGTAACTTCGATATTTTTGGCCATACTGGACCGATTTTTCGATCGACCAATGAAATTCACTTGGAAATAATAATTCGAAATAATAATAGATGGCGCGGACTACCTACCATGTTTTCTGTTGAACATCGGGAATAGCCGAAGTAACCAGAAGTGATTTTCATTGGTTGACAAATGTGAATGAAGACAAAACATTTTGTTTGGATGTTTTTATTTACCATTAGGTTAACAACTTGATATATTCTCATGTTGTGGCCGCTACCAGGACATTATAGCGTGCATGCACGTAGATAAATGATTCAAGTTCAGATTAAAGTAAGTTCCACGCAATAGGATTGTATACATCAATTGGTTATTTTGCGACCATATAGTGTCAAATGTACCTAGGGCCATTCTTAAAAAGTTCTATGTTTGCTGTCCCCCGACCCATGATTTTTTTGGTGGGTAGGTAGGTAGGTCTTCTTTTTTTGTGTGTGAGGCATAATAGTTATTTTAAGTCTGTCCTCATGTTTGCCACACATGCTTTGTGTTTCAGTCTTAACTATGAGGAATGTAAAAAAAAAGGAACCCAAAATGTCAAAAAAAACGTTTGGGTCGCGGCTATTTTCGTGGGTCGGTTGGAGGACAGCAAACATATAATTTTTTAAGGATGCCCTAGAGCATCTGGAAATCATGACTTATCCTATATTACTGACTGGATGACAACACAAGGCACTGCAAAACTCATTACCATCTCAGCAATATTTACCTCGATCCAGCGTATTCCTGTTATTTATACGGGTCATTATCGTATTTGAAATATATATAGAAGAGATTTTCTTAGCTTTGGAAGTGGGTGTATCCTGCTTTCTTGTTGGTCAGTGAGCCAACATAATCAGATTTTTTTAATTGAAAACCTTGCAGTATCACGACATTTATGATGTGCAATTGTTTGCATGTTTGAGTTGATTTTGGCACTTGGAGTCAAGTCTATATCACAGAACTAGTCTAGCTTTTTAAAAGTAACCTTGGTCGTATATTCTGGATACATGTAAATGTCTCTTCTGTGAGCAACTTGTAAGGTGGGAGTGGTCCACCATGCCTTGTAGCAAACATGCAATTCAACTGCACAATTCTAACTTAGTCTGAACTGTCAAACTCAGAAACATTGAAAAGCAAAGGCACAGACTACAAAATAATGTGAGAGTCTGTTTTGCATCATTTCTTACAAAGATGTCGGAAAAAATCCCCTCCCTAACTTTTAATTTACAAATTAGATAGCATGTGACAGTTCAGTTCCATGGAGAGTTGTTAAATCAAGTAAGATGATCACATATATGTCCTCTACGAATTTGTGTCAGATTTTTGTTAATTCAGAGTTGAAAGTTAGTCACTCCCCCCCCCCCTTTACACGGCATTTGATCAGAACTTTTTGAGAATCTGTACCAAAAACCTATTAGGAACAATTTTTAATGAAGATGATTGGTGTTCTTGTTAATTAATGAAGCTTTAGTTCAGTCCTCACATGATGGTGCAGTGTGCACACATCTCCGGTTTGGGCTGACGTCATCTTCCAAGCAATACATTGGCATTACTACTGTCATATTATTTAGAAATCGGATTTATGATATGGATAAGGATTAAGGATATATATATCCCTTTTTTACACGGTTACCCGATTTCAATTTTAAATCGGCTTTGACTTTAATCTGTAGTTGAGGATTTTTAGACGAGACGGCCCCTTTTTGATTGCAGATCTGGTTTAAATTTTAAATCTGAACTGAAATAAATTGAATTTAAATATGCAGCGTAAACAATGTACTTATGAACATTTATGCATTCACTTGCCTTAGCATCGATGATATCCTGTAGTAGTCAGTAAACCCTATGTAGATATTTGTAAAGTAAAAGAAGACAAATTCTGTGTATCTGTGCAAGGTGAAGGCTGTTTTACAAGATCGCATTTGCGAAGCATTGCACGTGAAATCGCACGCGAGATGTTACACATAGCATGGTTCCGCGTGAGACTTTCCACCCTATAGCGTAGCATATTGGTACAATACTTGACCTACATGTAGGCGTCACCATATCTCTCTCCAAGGCTTGCGGTCAATGCACGCAAGCACGCTGCGTACAAGCAAGTATATATATATGATAATGATATAGTAAATAGTATTAAGACATATAAGATATTACTAACTACTAAATAAATACTCTTTATTATACCTCGCCTGTGACTAAATCGCCACCGCACTAACAAGCTTCACCCGGCAGAACAATGTGACTGTCCATTCATTGCTCATGTAAAAATGCGAACTCTCTCCCCCCCCCGGCCCACCTCACATCCCGCCATCTCTTGCGCTCTGCGCTTCTGCCGGCTAACATTTCAACGAGTAGATTACCGCCGCAATCGATAAGGGTTGCCGTGCTGTGCCTTATTCCTCTCTATCGCCTGTCGTCGCGTCGTCGTCGTTGTTGTTCTGCCGCTCTACTTCTCGTCTCCTCTCATCTCCCCTCTCCAAAAGCAATAACAAATAATATATGATAATAATCAAATTAAAAATAATAATCGTATAAATGCAAACAATCCGCGTATGCAGTAAAAATGATAACTATGTTGTATATTGAGTATTGACTGCGAACAGAGCCGTATATAGATATATATCTGTTCGCGAAACATGACCCGCTTATATTGTATACAGCATAGAATATTTTATTATCTAATGCATTACAAACAAATCGTACTCTTAACTGCTTATATTCTGGTTTTTCATTTTTTAACTTGTTTGCCAGAAACTTGAGCAAATAACTCACGGTGTAGGGACACTCGCTTTAGCGTCCACAGTCCTCGTCAAATTGGCCGAGCACTCGCCGTAAATCGCGCGCTTACAATTTAACTCGGTTTGTTTTGAAAACCTCGTGGGTAAGTTCTCGGGACTGATTTTTTAATTTCCAAGGGCGCTGATTCGCTTTTCCCGAGCCGCGTTTGTTGTCTAGGTGTGATGCGGTTCATAATTCGACGTGACGGCGAGACAAATTGAATACAGACTGTAGGGTCAGAACAGTTGTGCTGCAGACCAAACAAGCTGTGTGGTTGCTTTGTCGGAATTATCCGACCTCGTGTGCAATCCGTGTAGTTTTCCCTCTCGCCTTCATTTCTCACGATAGGTGTCATTCATGTTCGCACCTACAGTGACTGTTTTACAGCCGGTTAAACACTTAAAATAAACACTGGAACTATTTGCTGCTGACAAAATCGAGTCACAAATAGCCCCGAAAACTCAGCCCTTGTCTCCACGCGCGATAGGTTCTTATTGTGTGCGTGCGTGGTGTCTCTCTTTGTGTGTGCTGCGTGCGTCGCGCGGCGCGGGCGAGGCTGTCGCTCGGTCGCTGCTGGTGTGCGTGCTGTTGCGTGTGTGTGCCCGTTCGTGTGTCTGTAGAAAGATGGGTGACGTGTTTAATATTTATGATTCTCTAATCGAGCCACACTCAATGCAACTCTGTACAGGCTGCTGTTGGGCATTTCAAGTAGATAGACTACAGCCCATCTCTGTCTTTCCCCTGATCAATGCTCAAGATGTAAACGACGTGCAAGGAACACGCGAGGCTGTTTTCTTTAAATGCTCTCTCCTTGCTTCGGAAAACTTTACCCACTTATATAATTAACCCTTTTAGGCGATCGACGAAATCGTTTGCAGCCATCGTCAACGATAACAAATTCACATCAGACACACGTACGGCTGGCTGCGTGAGTGTAACCTTCGTGGGGAAAAAAACTACAACTACTACTAGCAGCGGCAGCCGAATTCGTGCCACGCGTGTGTATGTGTGCTGTTAATCTGGCCCAGTTCTGAATCCAGTTCCTGTCTTACTGTTGAAGTTTTACAGATTTTCTGGTCTGGTGGAAAAAATTGTGCGTGCAGTTTTCTTTCAGCACCTGTTTGTTTACATGTGTAAACATGGCGAGCTAATCTCGCGGTCAGATGCGGTCATATTGTGCGGTCATATACTTGTCATATACTTGTGCGGTCATATGGTCATATTTTTTCCGTGCATGGTTTTTGCAAACCACAACCGAGCGCACGTGCTCTCGTGCTCGTTCCGA